ATTTTCAAAAATTTCATTATAAAAGCAATTTTTTAAAAGATTTTGCTCCGGGACATTGTTTTTCGAATTAATTCGTCGAGATATCCCAAAATTTTTAAGCACTTATTAACAATTTTTCTATATTCTCCATGATTTTTTTACTGTTTTTCGAGATTTTGAAATCATTAAAAAATGTAATCTTCAAACCGAATGTTTCGAAAATCCTGGTTAGGGGCCAAGAATTTCGAACCCAAAATAGTAAAGTTGGTCTGTACGGAATGGTAATTTAAAAAATCGTGATCTTCACACTTTTATTACCATGTTTTTTGTCGAATTGTTGTGACAGTTAGCAGTTCAAGGGCAGACCTATCTTTACTCGATTTTCCAGTTTCAGCAAATTACAACGTGTTTTCGCTTGGGTTTTCATTTTATAAATAACTGTAAATACATAAATGACAGGAAAACCGAAGCTTTTTCTAAATACCGAAGAACTAACAAATGCAAAATATAAAATAATGCGGGGTATTTTTTTTGCATTTATTGCATAAATTGGTGAAAATCTTAAATTTGATACAATTTTGATACAGTTGGTTATTGGCTTATTTGCAGTATGCAGGTAAATAAGCACCGACCTTATTTTAGCAGTTACTTGCGCCGCCCACCCACCCTCTCATTTCTTAGAAGATATGTCATTTGCCAAAGTCAGTGTTATCTTAGCTGGTACTAGCCCCGCCCACCCACCCTCTCCTTTATTAGACGGTATGTCATTTACCAAAATCAGTTTTATCCTAGCTAGTACTAGCTAAGTAAATTTATTTTTTTGATTTAATCAGGAACTACAACACCAAATGCTTTGAAATCTTGGAGATGTTTTACAGTTATCATTCGAAATCTAAAAATAATTTTTCGTAGATTTCGAAGTTGTTAGACAAAAAAGTCAAAATCCTCGATTTCAAATTCAGTTTTTGTTTTAAATCCAAAAAATTGACAGATTTTATTGGGCTATTGTTGGAAATTTATAGTATTTTTCGAAAAAATATGTCCGATAGTATCAAAATAAAAAAATTAAATAAATAAATACATTTTGAATTTGATAAAAAAAGTCCATGAAATGAAAAATTGACCTTATAATTGCCGAAACATTCTAAAAATTTTCAAGGAAAAAGGGTCGAAACTAACTTCTAGATGTTGAAATTACACAAAGCTTTTCACATACCTTTTGGAGTTGGTCGAAAAATGGTCGAAATTTTCGTAATGGTGAAAGAAGTTTTGAAAAATTGAGCTTTTGAAAAGTTTGTCTAAAAATCTACAAAAAATTCTGGGATATAAATTTACCGACGTACTGATTCGAAAAATATGGCATGTTTATGGCCCTTGAAAAATTATCGATTTGAAATTCAATTTTTCTTTTAAATCCAAAAAAAACTGAAATAATTCATTGGGCGATTGTGAAAAAATATAGGAGTTTTCGAAGAAATAAAGACGAAAGTTACTTCTGGAGGGTCGAAATCTACACAAAATATCTCAGAGACATTTCGAAGTTGGTCGAAAAATTGTAGAAATTTTCATAATGGAGAAAGACGTTTTGAAAAATTGAGCTTTTGAAAAGGTTGTCTATTTTCTTTTAAATTCAAAAAATTGCAATACTTCATTGGACGATTATGGAAAATTGTAGAAAGTTTTGAAGGAATGAGGCAAGAAGTACCTTTTGGAGGTCGAAATCTACAAAAAAATCTGTAATAGATTTCAAAGTTGGTAGACAAAAAAGTCAAAATTTTCGATTTCAAATTCAGTTTTTGTTTTAAATCCAAAAAATTGCTGCATTTTATCGGGCGATTGGTGTGAATTTATAGTATTTTCGAGAAAATAAGGCTGACAGTATCAAAATAAAAAAAATAAATAAATAAGTACATTTCGAATTTGGTCAAAAAAATGTTAAAATTTCCATGAAATGAAAAATTGACCTTATAATAAATATGTCCAAAATTCCATTAAAAAATTATATCCTAGATTTTTTGTGGATTTTTTGACAACTTTTCAAATCAAAAAAAAATCCGAGATATAAAGTCGACGTACTGATACAAAACTTTTCTATTAAATCCAAAAAAACGCAATAATTCATTGCGCGATTGCCGAAAAATTGTAAAAATTTTCAAGCAAAAAAGCCGAAAGTAACTTCTAGAGGTTGAAATTACACAAAACTTTTCACACACCTTTTGAAGTTGGTCGAAATTTTCGTAATGGTGAAGGAAGTTTTGAAAAATTGAGCTTTTGAAAAGTTTGTCTAAAAATCTACAAAAAATTCTGGGATATAAATTTACCGACGTACTGATTCGAAAAATATGGCATGTTTATGGTCCTTGAAAAATTATCGGTTTGAAATTCAATTTTTCTTTTAACTCCAAAAAAACTGAAATAATTCATTGGGCGATTGTGAAAAAATGTAGGAGTTTTCGAAGAAATAAAGCCGAAGGTTACTTCTGGAGGGCCGAAATGTACACAAAATCTCTCAGAGACATTTCGAAGTTGGTCGAAAAATGGTAGAAATTTTCATAATGGAGAAAGACGTTTTGAAAAATTGAGCGTTTGAAAAGTTTGTCTATTTTCTTTTAAATTCAAAAAATTGCAATACTTCATTGAACGATTATGGAAAATTGTAGAAAGTTTTGAAGGAATGAGGCTAGAAGTACCTTTTGGAAGTCGAAATCTACAAAAAAATCTTTAGTAGATTTCGAAGTTGGTAGACAAAAAAGTCAAAATTTTCGATTTCAAATTCAGTTTTTGTTTTAAATCCAAAAAAATGCTACATTTTATTGGGCGATTGTTGGAAATTTATAGTATTTTTCGCAAAAATAAGGCCGACAGTATCAAAATAAAAAAAAAAATTAAATAAATAAATACATTTTGAATTTGGTCAAAAAAATGTTAAAAACTCCATGAAATGAAAAATTGAGCTTTTAAAAAATGTCTAAAAATCCATAAAAAAAATTATATCTTAGATTTTTGTGGATTTTTTGACAATTTTTCACATCCAAAAAAAAATCGAGACATGAAGATACTGATTCAAAATATTTCTATTAAATCCAAAAAATCGCAATAATTCATTGAGCGATTGCCGAAAAATTGTAAAAATTTCCAAGGAAAAAAGGCCGAAAGTAACTTCTAGAGGTTGAAATTACATAAAACTTGTCACATACCTTTTGAAGTTGGTCGAAAAATGGTCGAAATCTTCGTAATGGTGAAGGAAGTCTTGAAAAATTGAGCTTTTGAAAAGTTTGTCTAAAAATCTACAAAAAATTCTGGGATATAAATTTACCGACGTACTGATTCGAAAAATATGGCATGTTTATGGTCCTTGAAAAATCATCGATTTGAAATTCAATTTTTCTTTTAAATCTAAAAAAACCGAAATAATTCATTGGGCGATTGTAAAAAAATGTAGGAGTTTTCGAAGAAATAGAGCCGAAAGTTACTTCTGGAGGGTCGAAATCTACACAAAATCTCTCAGAGACTTTTCGAAGTTGGTCGAAAAATGGTAGAAATTTTCATAATGGAGAAATTCGTTTTGAAAAATTGAGCTTTTGAAATGTTAGTCCATTTTCTTTTAAATTCAAAAAATTACAATACTTCATTGGGCGATTATGGAAAATTGTAGAAAGTTTTGAAGGAATGAAGCTAGAAGTACCTTTTGGAAGTCGAAATCTACAAAAAAATCTTTAGTAGATTTCGAAGTTGGTAGACAAAAACGTCAAAATTTTCGATTTCAAATTCAGTTTTTGTTTTAAATCCAAAAAATTTGTGCATTTTATTGGGCGATTGTTGGAAATTAATAGCATTTTTCTAAAAAATTAGGCCGACAGTATCAAAATAAAAAAAAATTAAATAAATAAAGACATTTTGAATTTGGTCAAAAAAAAAGTTCCATGAAATGAAAAATTGACCTTATAAAAAATATGTCCAAAATTCCAAAAAAGAAAATTATATCCAAGATTTTTTGTGGATTTTTTGACAATTTTTTAAATCCAAAAAAAAATCGACGTACTGATTTAAAATGTATCTATTAAATCCGAAAAATCGCAATAATTCATTGCGCGACTGCCGAAAAATTGTAAAAATTTTCAAGCAAAAAAGGCCGAAAGTAACTTCTAGAGGTCGAAATTACACAAAACTTTTCACACACCTTTTGAAGTTGGTCGAAAAATTGTCGAAATTTTCGTAAAGGTGAAGGAAGTTTTGAAAAATTGAGTTTTGAAAAGTTTGTCTATTTTATTTTAAATTCAAAAAATTGCAATACTTCATTGGGCGATTACGGAAAAATTGTAGAAAGTTTTGAAGGAATGAGGCCAAAAATACCTTTTGGAGGTCGAAATCTACAAGAAAATCTTTAGTAGATTTCGAAATTGGTAGACAAAAAAGTGAAAATGTTTGACAGTAGTGGAAAAGCGTTAAATGAAGACGTGCTTCGGTTGCAAGAATGGCTCGAAACGCAACCGCACCTTCCAAAAATGCTGGGTATGTTTTTGAGCAAATTTGGCGATATTTGAAACTTTTTTTTAAGACGAACATGCCCTTCGTAATTTTATGATTCTCAACAAGTGCAGTATTGAAATTGCGAAACAAAAAATTGACAACTATTATTCATTTAGAGCAAAGCTAGCAGAAGTAAGCTACGAGATGAATCCCAAGCTTCCTTATCTTCAGGAATACAATAAAATGGCGTAAATTATTTTTTATAGATTTTCCAGTAGTTCTATTATTAGTTGTGGTACCGTGTGCAGTAACTGCTAATGTACAAAAAATTTAGCTTTCACAGCATATCAAGCTTTCCCATGCAAACATGATTACTTGTAGATACCTAGTGGATCATCCTCAACTAACCGACGATATGTACAAACTTACATTTTTCAAAGTAAAAGGAGAAACTGTATCATCTGACTATGAACCGATTAATTTCGTGCGTAAACTGACTACTATGATAGAATTAAAACTTCGACACGATGTCATGTTTGGAGACATTTTTGTCTTTGATTGCAAAGGATTCACTTTCAACGTCGCTCTAAGAATTACACCAATGCTGGTTTACAAAACGTTTGTTCTTCTATACGATGTAAACCAGAAAAAACCTTACGTAACGAACGTTAACACTGGGATTCTAATTTTAGGGAGTTGTCTCATCACGTGTCAAAGCTATACACCTGATAAATGTGGAGCCACCAATAGCTAAAGTTGTGCAAATGCTAAAAGCAACTATAAAACCAAAAATATTTCAAAGGGTGAGTACAAACACTAAAAATAGCGTCTAGTTGAGGTTCCTACTTCTTAAAGATTTATATTCATTCTGAAGACGACGTTTTGAAGAAAGTTATTCCTTTGAATTTGCTACCTACTGATTTCGGGGGGGACGGACTATCTTTGCAAGAACTAGAAGGTAAGTTTTGGAAGAAAGAAATCATCATCGGGAATAACAATGTTTGTAGATGCACTGGAAGCAAAGTTCGTTGAAAACCAAGAACTATTTGATCGCTTAGACGAAATTAAAGTAGATGAAGCACTGAGACCCGAGAAACTGAAAGATGATTATACTCTAGGGTTCCACGGTAGCTTTAAAAAAATTGATATCGATTGAGGCCTTCAGTGGTGGATAATGAGCAAGGTGGTGGAATAGACGTCATTCAAAAGCAAAGTTACGATGATGTGCCACAGACGTACGTTTGTATTAAAGAATACATTAAAACACTGAATTAAAGTCAGAATGATAAAGCTGTTCAAAAGCGTTCGTTTTATTAGAGGAAAAAGTGAGGTTAGGTCGCCCCATTCCGCTATTTACCTTAAGTGCCACAATGTACTTACTTAACAACTGCACATTAAGTACCTCAGTGGTGTTAAAAAAACTGGAAAATAATCAATTTTTTAGACCTCTTAGATTCGCCCAATTTTTACTTCCTGACCGTAAGCTAAGGAAGTATTGTAATCGATACCTCCTTACTCGTATGTTTTCTAAAGTACGCAGAAATAGGTCTCCCGTTTCTGTCCGGATTTATATTAGACAGATAATAATCTTCCAAAACTACTCGATCGTTTGTTGTCATATTTTTATGTGAATGTTAGGAGTGTTATGTAGGTGGTAAAACGCTAACCAAAACTTGACTAATCGTTCACACCAACAATTTGATGAGGTCATCCAGCGATCGTATTCTTGGTAATTCGTTAATCAAAATTTAATCGTTAACCCTTCCCAAAAAACTGATGACGTCATCACAAAATTTGTAATGGGAAAACGCACTTGAAACAAACTTGTCGCACGCTTCTTTACCTTTACTTCGCAAAAATTTTTATAATTTTTCGAAAAATCTTGATTTATTTACCTTCGGCCAATTTTTTGGCACCATAATTTTTCGTTTTTCCTCTTTATTGGATTTTTTCATTTTCTTCCATTTTTCAACTTTTCCGTTTTTCAGTGTTTTGGTTACATAATTTTCCGTTCTTCCAACTGTAATTTTTTCAATATTACAATTTTTCATTTGTCGATTTTTTAGTTTCTCAATTTTTAAATTTTTCGATTTTTCAATTTTTCGCTTCCTTCATTTGTCAAGTTCTTGATTCCTGATTGTTTAGTTTTCATTTTCTCGAATTTACATCACAATCTTCCGTTTATTTAATTTTTCAAATCTTCAATATTTAATTTTTCAGTTCGCCGATTTTCCAGTTTTTAAATTTTTGAATTTTGTAATTTTTGGATTTCCAATTATCCAATTTTTCGATTTCTTTAATTTTCAATATTTCGTTTTTACAATTTTTAACTTTTAAGTTCCTCAATTTTTAATCTTGCAATTTTTCATTTCTTCAAATTATTATCAAATATTTCCAATTTTTAGATTTTGTTCTTCAATTTTTAATCTTTCAGTTTTTCATTTCTTCAAATTATCAATTATTTCCAATTTTTAGATTTTACAAAGTTTTAATTTTATGCTTTATTTTTGATTTTTTAATTTTATAATTTTGAAAGTATTCCATTTTTTTCATTCGAAAAGTTGAAAAATCGAAAAAGTGGGAAATCGAGAAACTAAAAAATCGGAAATTTCAAAAACCGAAAAACTGAAAAAACTAAAAATTGCAAAATCGAAAAAGTGGAAAATCTAAAAATTGCAAATTGAAGTATTAAAGAAACGAAGGATTGAAATTTTGAAAAACTAAAAATCGAGAAATTTAAAAATCGAAAAATGGTAAAGTCGATAAACTGTACCATTGAAAGAACGAAAAATTAAAAAATTAAACATCGAGAAATTGAAAGATCGAATAAATGAAAAAGTTTTAAAATATAGTAATTGAGAAATGGAAAAATTGTAAAATGCTAAAATTGAAAAAGCGAAAGAGTTGAATGTTATAACCTTGAAGAAATAACGAACAATTGGAAAATTGAAAAAATGTAAATAAAAAAATTGAAAAAATGAAAGGTTGAAGAATTCGAAAAACTGAAAAATTAATGATCCACAAATTGAAAAGTCAAATAAATGAAAAACTTAAAATATAATCGAGAAATGGAAAAATCCTAAAATTGTAAAGTTGAAAAAGCGAAAGATTGAAAAAATAAAGAAAATAGAAAACCGGAACAAAAAATTGCAAATCGAAAAACTAAAGTATGTAGAAGTTGGAAAATCGACAAACTGAAAAATTTAGAAATGAAAATTCAAAGAGTTGAATGTCACAACCTTGAAGAAATAACGAACAAGTGGAAAATTGAAAAATTCTAAATAAAAAATTGAAAAAATGAAAGTTTGAAGAATTCTAAAAACTGAAAAATTAATATTCTACAAATTGAAAAGTCCAATAAATGAAAAACTTAAAATACAATTGAGAAATGGAAAAATCCTAAAATCGTAAAGTTGAAAAAGCCAAAGATTGAAAAAATAAAGAAAATAGAAAACCGAAACAAACAATTGCAAATCGAAAAACTAAAGCATGCAGAAGTTGGAAAATCGACAAACTGAAAAATTTAAAAACGAAAATTCAAAGAGTTGAATGTCATAACCTGGAAGAAATAATGAACAAGTAGAAAAATGATGAACTGTAAATAAAAAAATTGAAAAAATGAAAGTTTGAAGAATTCTAAAAACTGAAAAATTAATATTCTACAAATTGAAAAGTCAAATAAATGAAGAACATAAAATATAATAATTGAAAAATGGAAAAATTCTAAAATCCTAAAATAGAAAAAGCGAAAGAGTTGAATGCTATAACCTTGAAGAAATAACGAACAAGTGGAAAATTGAAAAACTGTAAATAAAAAAATTGAAAAAATGAAAGTTTGAAGAATTCGAAAAACTGAAAAATTAATGATCCACAAATTGAAAAGCCAAATAAATGAAAAACTTAAAGTATAATTGAAAAATGGAAAAATCCTAAAATCGTAAAATTGAAGAAACGAAAGATTGAAAAAATAAAGAAAATATAAAACCGAAACAAAAAATTGCAAATCGAAAAACTAAAGCATTTAGAAGTTGGAAAATCGACAAACTGAAAAATTTAAAAACGAAAATTCAAAGAGTTGAATGTCATAACCTTGAAGAAATAATGAACAAGTGGAAAATTGATAAACTGCAAATAAAAAAAATGAAAAAATGAAAGTTTGAAGAATTCTAAAAACTGAAAAATTAATATTCTACAAATTGAAAAGTCAAATAAATGAAAGACTTAAAATACAATAACTGAAAAATGGAACATTTCTAAAAATTTAAAAAGTAAAAATTTTAAAAGTCATAATTATTACATATTTACAATGAAAACTGTAAAAATTGCAAATTAAAAACTGAAGAAACGAAAAATCGAAACACCTTATCTTGGCAAGCATTAGCCTCGCCCACCCGCCTTTTATTTTCTTAGAGGGGTGGTACCTCCTAAAATTTTAAAAACTTTGAAAATCGATAAATTGAAAACCAAAAAATTGCAAATTGAAAAAAAAGAAAAATTATAAAATTGGAACATTGGAAAAAGAAAAACTGAAAAAATAAAAAACCAAAACAAAGAATTGCAAATCGAAAAATTGAGGACATTAAATATTGAAAAAACGAAAAATTAAAAACTAGTGAAACTGCAGATCGAAAAAGTGCAAAGTCTAAAAATTTAAACATCCAAAAGTTGGTAAATATGAAAACTGAATAAATTAAATGAGAAGAGTTGCGTGTCGTATAGTTAAACAAGCAAAAGGAAATTAAAAATTCAAAAATAGTAAATCAAATAATTGTAAAGATTGAAATCGAAAAAACTCGGAATATCGACAACTCGAATATATACAAAAATAGAGAAAATAAAAACCGAACCGAAAAATAACAAACTAGAAATTGAAAAGTAATTCTTCGACTTTTCAATTTCTAGTTTGTTATTTTCAATCATTTTTGTAGATAATTTTATGATCTATAATTTTTGTCTGAACTCTATTTTTGATAAAACCGTTTTCGAGAAAACTCCAAAAAAACTAAAATTTTGACCTTTGACCTTGAATAACTTTTTTAACACACATGGGATCTATGGGGACTTTTGGCACTTTATTTCTACTGGTGTACCCAAGGTCTCTACCAAAATTCAGCTCTGTCGGAGTTTTTGTTATGTGATCACTATTTTTATGTCTATTTTGACCGGACTATAATTTTGAAAACTGTGCAGTTCGTGATCTTAATCCTGTTGTTTCTGGAGATGCTCATCATGTTGCATTATATATTGATGCAAAAATCAAGCAGACCTCTTTTGGAAACTTCCCTAGCTGCGGTAATGATAAAGTATTTAACTTTAATAAAGCTGATTTTCCTGCCGATATATGGATCTAAGTATCTTACCCTTTCAATCTCATTAAAAAAAAGTTGTTTTCCTAAACTACGGAAGATTGCCAAAATCGTCCCCGTTTTGCTGAATAAATCCTTATATGTGCAAAGTATGATGAGACAATACTTGTGATTTATCATTCCATGCATATTTTTTGGATTTGCATATACAGGGTGACTTCAAAAAATTAATGAAGAGATAAGATCATGATACTTATTAAAGAACCGATAAATTGTAAAAATAAAGAAAATAAAAAACCGAAACAAAAAATTGCAAATCGAGAATATGAAGAAATGAAAAAAAAAACGAATCGAAAAATTGAAAAGTTGGAAAATTTTCAAACGAAATCTGCAAAGTCTAAAAAATGAAGAAACAAAATTGAAGAATCGAAGAATTAAAAAAATTTAATACAATTGAAAAAATGTAGAATTGAAAGATATAAGAATTGAAACGTTCAAAAGTTGGAAAATCAGAAAACTAAACATTTTTTTCAAGTCTTCAAATTTAAATTTTTCAGTTTTTCCACTTTCCAATTTTTGAATTTTTAAATTTCGCAATTGTTCGATTCGAGTTTCTGGAGTTTTCAGTGTTTCGATGTTAGTTTTTTTCAATTTCAAGTTTTTAATTTTTTTGCTCCTGCATTTTTAGATTTTGTAATTTTTTTATTTCAACTTTCTCCAGTTTTCAATTTATTATTTTTTAGTTTTTCTGTTTTTTAATTTTTCATTTCTTAAAATTTTAGATTTGCAGTTGTTCTAGTTTTCATTTTAAACATGTAACAAATATAATTTAAAAAATTTTTCACCGTTTCGATTCACGTTTTAAGAATTTTTCCATGTTTTAATTATTGGATTTTAATTTTGATTTATTCGATTTTTTAATCAGTGTTACAGTTTTTCGACTTTACAATTTTGACGATTTTATAATTTTTCGATTTAGAAATTTTTGCGTTTTCTAATTTTTCGATTCGTTTTTTCCTCATTCCAGTTCTTCGAATCATTAATTTTTCCGATCTCGATTTTTAGTTTTTCAATGTTTTGATTTTTCGTTTATTGATTTCTTCGAGTTGCAATTTTTAGATTTTTCACCTTTTCGATTTTGCAATTTTTCATTTTTTCATTTTTCGAGTTTTCAAAAATTGAAAAAATTCACATTGAAAAACCGAAATATCGAAAAATTAAAAATCGAACTCTGGAGAAATTTTAAATCGAAAAATTGCTAAATATCAAAATTAAAGACAAAAATGAAAAACTGAAAAATCGCACATCCAAAAAATTGAAAAAAGATGCATAGAAAAAATAAAGAAAGTAAAAAACCGAAGCGAAAAATTGTAAATTCAAAATGGAAAAATTAAAAATTGAAAAATTCAAAAGCTGTAAAATTGAAAAACTGTTCGTTGTTTGTATGTATTTACTAAAATAAATTAATTAATTATACCTTCTTATCCTCCAGCAGTGTCTACAAAGTTTGGATAAGTGTTAATTTTTCACTTATAATTTTGATAATACCGGGTGTTTGGAAAATGGCGGGAAACTCTTCAGTACGTTATTACGGTGACAGCTTTTAGTTAGAAAATTGTCTGAATATGAACGTTGCCAAATTTACCATTAACAAGTGGTGTTTCAATAGAAATGGCAAAGACTATAATTTTATAAAAGTATGCGTGAATACCTCCAGCTTACTTTCTGATTTCTTAGTAACGATGGTGACTGAAATCCACCGTTTATTTTTTTAGGACATTGACCATAACAACCAGTAGTCAGTTATTGTTGTGCATTTTTATTAACAAAACAAGCCGTTATTTTTCATTAATAAATAAACCAAAAAACCCATTTAATAAAACATTAATAAATTATAAATAAAACCAACAAAAGAAAACTCATTCAAGCATAACCAACTAAATACTAGAGAAAATGCTCAAAATTCCTGCCTTTTTTTGTAAAAATTAGTCATCAGTACTTGCTAAGATAAAACTGATTTTGGCAAATGAGATAAGAAAAACGAATTAAAAAGAGACGAAAAAAAGCGAAAATTTGACAACATAAAAAGGGGCCTTAAGATTAAGACCAAGATCATTTCCTCAAGCCTCAAGTGTCGCAAAAACGAAATGTTTGTAAACTTTCATGACAAAATAACCACTTATCGATAACAAAACAAAATAACACTACGTGCTTCGAAAAAAAAAAACAAACACGAATCAGTCCTTGACCGTTCATGTAAACACTTGGTACAAGTAACCAGCCCCCTTAATCAGCGTCAGTTGCATAACGATGGACGAACAGGTAGATCGCATGTTCGATGAAGTTGCAAAACAATTTAACAGCACTGGAAAAGCGCTAAAAGAAGACGCGATACGTTTACAAGAATGGCTAGAAACACAACCGCACCTTCCGAAAATTTTGGGTACGTTTTTGAGCACATTCAACAAAAAATCTACTTTTTTTTATAGATGAACACGTTCTGTGTAATTTTTTGATCCTCAACAAGGGCAGCATTGAAGTTGCTAAACAAAAAATCGACAACTATTTTTCATTTAGAACAAAGTTACCGGAAATAATTTACGAAATGAATCCCAAGCTCCCTCATCACAAAGAATATAAAGATATGGTGTAAGTTATTATTTTTAAATGAGTAATAGTTAAGTAACATGATTTTTCGTAGATACCTGGTGGATCACCCGCAACTGACCGACGAGATGTACAAACTTACATTTTTCAAAGTAAAAGGAGAAACTGTCTCCCCTGACTATGACCCACTCAATTGTATGAGAAGATTGGTTAGCATGACAGAGTTAAAACTGCGATATGACGTCATGTGTGGTGACATTTTTGTAGGAGATTTGAGAGGAGTCACTTCGAACCTCGTTCTGAAAGTTACACCACTGATGGTTTACAAGGTTGTGGTTGTTCTATACGAAGTAAGACAGAATTAATCTACGTCACGATTTCAAAAAGCAGATTTTAGGGTGTTATCTCGTCACGTCTCAAAGCTGTGCACATGATAAATGTGCCACCAGTATTAACTAAATTGCTGACTGTGGTAAAAAGCTTTATCAAACCGAAATTATTTGAAAGGGTGAGTACGGACACGACAAATAAGGTAAAGTTAACTTTCATACTTCTTAAAGTTTTATGTTCATTCAGAAGAAGACGCTTTGAAGAAAGTTATTCCTTTGAATTTGCTACCTACTGATTTCGGCGGACAAGGATTATCTTTACAAGAGCTAGAAGGTAAGTTTTAGAACAAAAAAATCGTAAAAAAATAACAAAGTTGTAGATGCATTAGAAGCAAGATATGCACAAAATCAAGACCTGTTTGATCGTTTAGACGAAATTAAAGTAGACGAGAAACTGAGACCCGGGAAATTGCGGGATGATGATACTTTAGGGTTCTATGGTAGCTTTAAAAAAATCGAGATCGACTGAAGGTGTCGACTGAATAACCAGCAAGGTGGAGGTGGCCGACATTATTAAAAAAAAATTATAGTGATGTAGTACGTTTGTATTAATGAATAGATTACAGATTGAATCAACTCAATCAATGTGAATAAAAAAAAAATAAATGGGAATAATAAAAATCAAGGACCACTTCATCTGGACAGGCAAGTTTTTGTTTCTTTGTACGTCACTGGATTGAAATTTGCTATAACAGTAAGAAAATGTTTTGCATTATTCAGTCGAATATTCTGCAGGGTCTAATGTTTGTTACTTTTTGAAAATACAACAAAGAGTAGAAGTGGGAACCCCCTTCTTGTAATCATCAGCTTGCCGTTCGCCTTCTTGCATTGGCCACATTTTTAAAACACTCTCATTGCTAGTTATTAATTTCATTAGTTTTGTTACATAACATTGAGCTAGAAACAGTCAGTAAATTGCAAAAGGAAAAACTTGAAACTCAAACATCTGCACCGATACAACAACCTTCATACGCTGATTGCCTAAAAACAGTGAGTAAGAAATCAGTCGATGTTTTCATTAAGCATCTAGGTCCTGAAAAAGTAAAATCTGACAAAGTGTTAGAAAAAATTCGCAAAGATGTAAACCCTGTTGAATTGAATGTTCAAATTAACTCCACAAAAATATTAAACAGAGGTGTAGTTGTTAAATGTGCGAATGATTCTTCTTGCGATAAGCTCATAACCAAGTTAAAATCCTCGCTTGGTTCTGACTATAGTGTCGAAAAATCCCAAAAGTGGAACCCTCGTTTTTATGTTAGAGGTGCTGGCAAGAATGTTTCTACTATGGAAGACAAAGATCTAATTGACAACATCTTAATATTAAATGGTTTTGACATCCAAATGTATGCGAATCAAATCAAAGTTGTAAAAAGATTTGATTATAAGTATAATTGTAATTTCATTATTGAAGTAACTAGTGCCTTACGCAGAGAAATACTAAGTAATTGTAATGGTAGAATATATGTTGATTGGAGCTTGTGTTCATGTTCCGACCATCTGATTGTTAGACGTTGTTTTAAATGCTCCAAATTTGGTCATCTCAGCTCTAAATTTACAAGTAATACGCAAATATGTCACGAGTGCTCTGACAATCACTTTTCCAAAGATTGCAATTCTGACCACCTCAAAACCATAAATTGTATTGAATACGCGGAGCGTAATAAGTCATCAAATATCGATATCAACCACTATGCTGGAGATGAGCAGAAGTGCATTGTTTATAGGAATAGGCTAAAAGACTTACGCGACCGAATTGATTATGGTTCATAGTTCAGATCTTATTAACGATATGGGTTCAACAAAAATAAATTTAAATTGTCTTAAAATTGCACATCTAAATGTAAGATCGCTTTTTACGGGGTTTGTTGAATTTACAAGCTTAATCACTTCCAATAATTTTGATTCGGTAGCTGTTACTGAGACTTGGTTGTCTGAGGATATCCCTTCTGCTGTGGTTGGTATTGATGGTTACAAATTATATAGAGCTGATCGGTCTAGAACGGGCGGCGGTGTTGGTATCTATGTGAAGAATTGTTTGAATAGCGATGTAGTTCTCCATGACTATTGTGGTGTCTGGTATCGAATTTTTGTGTATCAGACTTCAACTAAATAAACATTCGCTGCCCATTTGTGTATTCTATAAATATGCTTCTTCTTTAAACGATGCCACCGAATTCTTTGACAACTTTTTATCTTTTATTACTCCACAGTACGATAATATATTAATAACTGGCGACCTGAATGAAGATTTTCATTTCAATAATAAGCTAAATGATTGTTTTGTTGCCTATGGTTTTCAACAAATCATCTCTGAAAGTACCAGAGTTACGCGAAATCCTGAGACGTTGATCGATCCTATTTTTATCAATAATAATGCATTATTTCGTAGAAGTGGAGTTATAAATGCTGATCTAATATCTGATCATCGTCTAGCCTTTTGCATATTAGACATAAATATTCCTAAAATGACTCCTAAATATACTACATACAGAGACTTTAAAAACTTCTTGCATGATAAATTTATGTTAGACTTAAATAAAAAATCTTTGGATAACATTTATTACATCCTCAATATTGAAGATAAAATCAGGTACCTTAACACAACTGTGTTAGAATTATTTGACTATCACGCTCCGTTCAAAACCTCGTTCATTTCAAAGCCCTATGCACCTTGCCTCACCCCTTCTATTAAAGAATTGATGAAACAAAGAAATCGAGCATTAAGTTTATATAAGCAAACTAAATCTGCTCAGCACTGGCTATTTTATAAGCAGCTAAGAAATTCTACGGTTGCTGCACTGAAACGGGAAAAAAAAGTGTACTTAGATTATGAAAGTAATACTTCAAACAAAAAAAGACTATGGGTTGCACTAAAAAAGTTAAATATTCAAAAAAAAGTTAAAGGATGTGATCTATCTACATTCAGTGCTGATGAAATAAATGAATATTTTTTGTCAGTATTCACTCCTCCTCAAAACTGTGTTGAAGCTGCTAATAACATAAAAGGTATCAAATATAAACCAAATAGTAACTTTAAATTTTCATTGGCCACTGAGGAGGAAGTGTTTCAAATCATAAATAGCTTGAAATCTAATGCTATGGGTATTGATGGTATCTCTGCTTACATGATTAAATTATGTTGTCCTAATATAGTTCAGCCAATTACTCACTTTATTAATTGCTGTCTGGAGACTGGATACTTTCCAGAATTATGGAAAGTGGCTTTAATTCATCCTATTCTCAAAATCGACGAGGTAAACTCTCCAGAAGACCTAAGACCAATAAGTATTCTTCCAACATTATCTAAAGTCTTAGAAAAATGCATCTAAGGTATAATCAAATCTTTAATTTTATAGTAAAAGAAGAGATATTATCTGAAGATCAATCTGGTTTTCGCAAGGGATATAGCACAACGACAGCTCTAGCTTCTGTTATCGATGATTGCCTGATTGAACTTGACAGAAACCACGCAAGTATTGTAACTCTTTTGGATTATTCAAAAGCTTTTGATACTTTGGACCACCACCTCCTATGCACAAAACTGGAATATTATGGGTTCGATCAAATTTCTGTTTCTTTTTTTAAATCATATTTACAAAATCGACATCAACAAGTTGTAACCGAGTCTGGTATATCTAAAATCGGCTTAATAACATCAGGCGTACCGCAAGGCTCGGTCTTAGGCCCAATTCTTTTCACTATATATACTTCCCAATTGTTGCAGATACCTTCAGTATCTAAAAAGAGAGCCTTTGCAGATGACACCCAAATGCAGCATCATTTCCTACCTAACGAAGTTGATATAGCATCTAACCATATAAATAATGACTTACAAAATATAGCAAATGTTTCATCTGATATTAACCTCCAACTGAATATGAATAAATGCAAAGTTATTTGCTTCGCTCCCCGAAAATTTAAAAATGTTCTTTTTGACAATATTAATGTTAAATTTGATAATATAAAACTACCAGTTTTACATACTGTAAGAAATTTGGGATTGGTGATTGATGACGATATTCGTTTTAAGACCCATATTTCTAACATTATTAAAAAATCTTATGTAGGATTAAAACTTCTTTATTCAAATTACCTTTTACTCAATTTTAAATTGAGGAAGAAATTATGTGAGTCTCTTGTCTTGTCATATATAAATTATTGCCTAGTAATATATTACCCATGTCTTGACAGTATTGATAAATACCGTCTTTAAAAAATCCAAAATAATTGTTGTCGTTTCATTTTTGGTTTGAGGAAATTTGATCATGTGTCTCAGAAAATCTGTGAGCTCGGTTGGATGAAAATTGACAAATTGTTTCATATCACCTATTTATCTCTGCTTTCAAGTTATTTTCCTCTAACTCTCCGCCGTACTTGCGTTGTAAATTTCATACAAGGAAAAGTATGTTAAACTCAAGTCTTCCATTAAGGAATCTTAAAGAACTGTCAATGCCAAAGCATTATGCATCTATCTTTCAGAGATCTTTCACGTACAATATTATCAAAGTTTACAATACATTTTTTTTAGAGTTTAATTCAAGTTCCTCCATCAATTGTTTTAGGAAAAAAATTAAAAAATGTTTGGTTAATACTTAGGTTTAAGTTTATTATTGTGGTTCTCTTGCTTGTTGTTATTTTTTGTTATTATTATTATTATTATTTGTATAAATTTAGTTTCTAATTATGGATTATTTAATTTAGATTTAACTGGTTTAATTTGTTTAATTTGATCATTACCTAGCTGAATCCTGTCTAGATATTTAATCCGTTTTTCTGTACAAACTGTTTGGTTAGTTTTATTTTCTTGTAAATCTAAGGTTAAGTGGAATAGCCTGTGGCTAAACTTCGCCTATTATTATTTAATAAAGTCCTATTATTATTATTATTATTAACATTACACAACAATTTGCATATCTTGTATTTTTGATCCGACAAAAAAACGCTTTAGTGTATATATTATTTCTAAATTATCAATATAAATGTAAAACACCAGACAGTGGAGATCCCCAAGATTCTTTAAAATTCTTTCAAAAATAAACCAATATTATTCGTTCACGATCTTTATATAGTAGGGTTGACCATGAAAATCTAGTGAGTTTGTTGGTATTCGATGCAGAAGAATAAAAATTCCCTGAACTTTTTTCGTTAGGTTATGTTATACTAAATTAAAAAATATGCCAGAAATATAAACATTGTTGCCGATACTTTCAGTTTTCAGTAGCAATGACGATGTTAACGGTATCCATTTCTTAGAAAGCATAAAACTTTACGCTATTTAAAACAGTTGTTCGGCTTTTTGTAAGTGTTTATTTCATATGTAAGGAACAAACACTAAAATTTCACTTAAACATTGTTTTTATATGAATGGGGGTTCTCCATACGACGATTGTCGCATGCCACGTTTAGCATCTCATCTTTAATTCTCAATCATCAGTTCGTTCTGCTCGCCCCACTCTTCTTAGAAATGGAGATTTCGACCTTTGTGAACAGCCTATTTCCCTATCTAGGGTTGGTAAAAGACAACAACCTTGCTCTAGTGCTTTGATGAGTTTAGCTCTTCTGAAACATTTTTCCGGCCTTAAATTGAATGATTTATCTATATAGCTATTACTAATGCTTACGTAAGTGCTCTTTATTTGCTTTTACTAAGTACTTCCAAACGCTTACTAATAAGAACGTTACTATACGCCTTCTCCAGGTCCATGAAGAGTTATAAAAAAAAATGAATATGCTTAATTTTGGTGTAAAGTAACAACGTGGATGATCTAACTAAAATTATACTTTTTTTTGTTGTACGTCACGTAGTTTTTCACATACTACCTTGGTAAATTTAGAACGAAAGATGCGTAAAAATATCACCCCCCGACAAGCTACAGTTCACTCCATTTCCACCCAGCGAAATAATGAAAGGATGTATGGATTCGTATGAAAGATTTCCCATATTTTTTTCCCAATCTGCCAAAATAAGTTTTTCACAATGTTTACAAAAATTTTGCCACATGCCTGGAGTACATTTAGAAAGCACCTCAAGCCATAAATTCTCCACCCTATTTTTTTAATGAAGATTTAGAATTTATTTCTAAATCCGGACTACGACTCTTTTATCAAAATGTACGCGGACTTCGAACTAAAACATCATCAGCACTTCTATCGTCATTACATATGGACTATGATGTAATTGTTCTCACCGAAACTTGGTTGTGTAGTGATATAACAGACAGTGAAATATTTGATTCAAAATTTACAGTTTTTCGTCGTGATCGTAATCCAACGTCTACTAAAAAAACTAGGGGTGGAGGT